CGTGTGCGTGCATGCCCAAGATCCCGAGAGGAGAATGGAGGAGAAGGGATTGCGGCGTGACCATCCCCCCCTGGGGGGTGATTTCTCGCTTTCTGTCTCTATGTCTGTCTCTGTCTGTCTGGCGAGTGCACACGCCCTATAGCGAAAACCTCTCCAGAAATTGTTTTATAATAAGGTAAGATTATATATACCTTATTAGATATTGTCAACAGTTTTCAACAGTAGTTGTATCATCTTACATTTCAATCAACAGTGTATGAGAATTGCTTTACATTTTTGCTTATACTTGATACTGTCTTATCCATTTTAGCCATTCTGGTAGGCATGTGTTAGTATCCCACTATATTTATAATTTACATTTCTCTAATGATCTTGAGCACCTTTTAAACATTTATTGGTTATTTGGATAATCTCTCGTAAAGTCCCTGTTTATGTCTGTTATCTATTTGTCTGTTTGGATGTCTGTTATACTTTTGATTTTTAAATTTTGTCATCTTTTACTTATGGTTTTTATTTATGTATTCTGGATACAAGTCCATCATAAGTTATAAATTGCTATTATCTTGCTATATGTATTGGCTTTTCATTTAAATTATACTTTTGTTTTAGAGAGGTTTTATTGTTTGTTTGTTTGTTTTGTCTTTTTGCTATGGGTGTGTGTGCTCGCTGGAGAGTCAGAGAGAGACAGAAAGTAAGAAATCATCCCCTGGGCAGATAGCCATACTGCAATCCTTTCTCCTCCATCCTCCTTTTGGGATTTTGAGCACACACACATGCACATGTGCCCAGCGTGAGTTTCAAGTTCCCAGGTCTGGGACTTGAACTACAGTCAACCATGTGGGCATCCAGTGACATAGCCATTATATTATCTGCCGATTCCCTTACATTATACTTTTAATGAAGAGAATTTCCTATTTTATATGTAATTAAATCATTTTTTTCTTTTATGGTTGAGAGCATGCAGGATCCCGCTTAAGAAATTATTGCATACACCAGGTTATGAAAATTATTTTTCTATTTTATCTTCTGGGAGCTTTATCCTTTTCTTTTCTTTTTTTCTTTTCTTTCCTCTCTCTTTTAGAGTGAGACTTTTTGCTATAGGGTGCATGTGCTCACCAGAGAGAGACAGACAGAAAGTGAGAAACCACCCCTGCTCCAGGGGGAATGGCCATGCCACAGTCCCTTCTCCATTCTCCTTTCGGGATTTTGGGCAGATACACATACACACCTGGAGTGAGTTTAAGCCACCAGGTCTGGGACTTGAACCACAGTCGACTACATGGTAGTCCAACAAGGTAACCACTACATCCTCTGCTGGTCCCTATCATTTTATTTTCAAATTTAGATCTGCAGTCCACTCAGAACTGACTTTCTAAATATATGATGTAGGGTAAAGGGTCACAGTTCAATTTTTTCCTAAGTGGGTATTCAATACTACTTGATTTATTGACAAGATGATTCTTTCCCCATTCAATATTTTTATAAATCAAAGACCATAAGTGTGTTGGTGTATCTGGACTCTAATCTGTTAGGACATTTTTTGGGTCTGTTTTGGTCTTTACATATCAGGGGACCTCAGAAGGTTCATGGAAAGTGTATATTATAAAAAAATTATGCTGGATTGCAAAATATTTTGTACCAGAATACATCTGTACTTTAATTCCATTTTTCTACAAACTTTTTGAAGTCCCCAAATATGTGTGTGTGTGTGTGTGTGTGTGTGTGTGTGTGTCTGTATGTATATAAATTTAATATCCTAATTGTTGCTGGCATATAGAAATGCAGTTGATTTTGTTTGTATAAATGTGTGCATGTATGAATATGTATATAGCTGGATAAGATTTGCTATTATTTTCTTTAGAATTTTTGCAGGCTGGTTTGTAATTCAGTTTTCTTGTAACACTGGTGTTAGTAGGTGTTGGTTTCAATATCTGGCCTCATAAAGTTAATAGAAAGGGCTTTATTCTTTGTTCTCTGGAAGAGTTTGTATTCAGTTGTATTAATCAGAAATAAGTGCTCTGAAACTGGAGATGCCTATGTGAGAAGATTTTAAATGACCAGTTCGGTTAATTTAATAGATAAAGGTTTAACCAGATTTTATATCTCCTCTTCCATTATTACTGAAGTGTGTTTTTCTAGAACTTTGTTCCTTACTTCTAAATATTCAAGTTAAGTGTGTAATGTTTATGATAGATATCCTTTTACTATCTTTTTTTTATATCAGCAGGATTTGTAGTGATATCTTATTTGTCATTAGATATATTATTTGTGTTTTTTTTCTTTTCACTTTGGCAATATTAGTTCAAGTACTTATTGATTTTTTAGCCTTTCCAAAACCTGACTTTTATCTGTATTGATTCTCTCAAACATTTGATCTTTTCATCTAGCATATGCATTTAAGACTGTAATTTTACTCACAACACACCTTTCCCTTATTTTACAGTTTTAATATGTAACGCTACCAAATTAAAAAAATTAAAACTTCTGTGACTTTTTTTGATACATTATTTATTTAGAAATGCTTGTCTTAATTTTTCAACATACAAGTTTCTTAGTAATTATTTGCTATGATTTTCAGTTTAATTCCACACCCATATACACAGGTATATGTACCAGTTCTGTTTATCATTATAATAATTTTTAAATGACATAAACCTTATTTAACTGTGTTCAGTATTATTTTATAATTAACATTATGGGAGCACCTCTTTTACTAGGTTAAATGAATACTATTCATTTCTGTATCTGCAGCTGACTACTTATTGTTTTGTAGGTATCACTGTGCCGTAATTCTCTTTTCATAATCGGCATTATGATATTTTTAAAAAATTCATATTATTCTACTTATGTTCTTTTGAAGGAAGAGAAGTTGACTTAAATGACCTGGAAAATGTCACGAAAAATATGAAGATAGAACTCACATCTAAGGAAAACTTGGAGCCACACAACTTACTTGATGGTAAGCATTTCAACATTAGTGTAGCCTTCAGGAGAATTAATATTACCTCTGAGAGAGTTAGTAGTCACTGAAAAAGTTATTCAGTATTACAGGTATTAGTAGAGTCTTGAGGGAGTTAGAATTAGATGCTTATTATCCAATAACATGTGCTATAGATTATTTATAAATTAGGGATAATAAGATATCTGTAATATCAGATATAATGATTTTTAATATTAAAGAATATAAAAATATTCATTTAGTAAAATATACACAGGCCAGTCAGTCATAAATATTTTCTATCAGAACTAAGCAATGTTGATGGTTGTCTTTCATTCCATTGAGATGTTTTGGGTTAAGCTCTATAGGAAATAGGAAGAGGTGTTGGAAGGTAGGGGTACACTAGTAGAGAAAGGGTAGTCAAAAAAATATAAGATAAGTGTTTTTGCTTCAGCTTAATTGGTATTAAAATCACCTTAGGCACTAAAGAAAACCATATTAAGAATTTGTCTACATTCTAGTTATATTATTTTTAGAAGACAAATTACATGAATTTCAGCAAATTATTTTATGGTCCATACTTCTGAACTCGGATTTTTTAAATTGCTTTAGCGTATACAACTATTTTCCCTATGACATCAAGTATGTATTTTTTTACAACTAATGGAAAAATATGTAAAAATTGGTTGCTGAATTATATGAAGCTATAAAAGGTGAATGAGATGAAAATTGATTAAGGCAGGCTAATCGAGATGCTTATGGTTTATTTTTGCTTTTCCTTTTCATTAAATTTTGCATCCTGTGAATCTCATATGTGTTTTAATTTTTTAATTTATATATATATATATGTATATGTGTGTGTGTATATATATTCGTGTTGATTGAATAATCTCTTGCAATTTATTTAGTTAGTTAGTTAGTTTTGGAGAGGTTCTTGCTCTAGGGCGTGTGTACTCACTGGAAAGACAGAGAGAGACAGAGAGACAGAAAGTGAAAAGTCACCTCCTCAAGGAGGATGGCCACGCCACCATCCTTTCTCCTCCATTCTCCTCTCAGGATCTTAGGCATGCACATATACACACTCCTGGTGTGAGTTTAAGCCACCGGGTCCAAAACTTGAACCATGGTCAACTACATGGGAGTCCAGCAACATAGTCATTACGCCAACTGCTGGTCCCTCTTGTGATTTATTTTTAATATATGATCTAGCTATCTTAGGTTAGTCTCAATTTTAGCTGGGGAAATAATAAAACTTAAGCTTATCAGAATTTGAGAGGAGCTAGTGCATCTTAAAATGCAGTGAACATACTGAACCCTACTCATTTGTATATTTATGTTAAAAAATCATTAGATTTGCTATTTCACTGCTATAAGCCTTAATGGTTTTCCAATTCTCTCTCTCTTTTTTAACATGATAGACCAGATTTTATTTTTATCTCAAGAATATTTAAATTGGGGGAAGAAATTCAGTTTCAAATGTTATTGACAGGTTTCAGACAGTTGTGATGGAGGAATCAACAATCCTCCAATGCAAAAATCCACCTAGTAAAGTTTTAGATGACCAGTAACTTTATTAATTAAGTCTGCTGGTCCTGGCCCAATTCCTAGGACAGTTCAAGAGCCTGGTTCAATCTGAGTATGTACAGCACCTTGAGTTAAACTCACGGTCAGTCCAAGGATTTTTGCATGGGTCAATAATTCAATCAGGTTTCTTCATCAGGAGTTTTGACCACCACTTTGGGCTGGCCACAGTATTCCCATTCATTGAGCATTTTAGGACTTCTTTCCATTTGTTTGTAGGCAGAAGCAGAAGCATGGGAGCACTGGGCAGCCACTTTTCCTTTTTCAATTTTTAAGTAATTTCAAACAACAAGAATCATTTTATATTCCTCACTTTCTCCCAAGATGCTTGCTTCAGTCCCGGTCAAGATGCTTGCTTCAGTGCCAGTCTCTTCAGTTGTCTTGTTTGCTGAGCTTTAGGGGAGCATCCCAAAGCATACCCGGAGGCCCCAAACCAGGCACATACCATGAGCAACCCCAGTAGCCAGGCTGAGTGCACCAGGATAAGATAGAGATTCCATAATCAAAGATTCAGAGAGCACCTACTCACACTGGCTCTTCCAGTTCTTCTCTTTAGGGTAGCAAACACACTTCTCCCCAACTCTCTTTCAACATGATGTTTATGTAGGCTTATTTTTAATATTGTATGTAAGTAAACAGATTAATTTTAGTTCATCTATGGTCCTCTTTAGATATTTAACTGTCCTTACTTCATCTATGGTCCTTTTTATATATTTATGGTCCTCTTTGCTGTTTCACTGCTGTAAGCCTGAATGGTTTCCCAACTCTCTTTCAACATGATGTTTATGTAGGCTTATTTTTAATATTGTATATAAGTAAATAGATTAATTTTAGTTCATTTATTGTCTTCTTTAGATATTTAACTGTCCTTAGGATCTTTTTTATGATGAAATTGATAACCATAATTTATAAGAATTAATATTCATTATATTTTAACTTTCATTTCAATTTCTTCATGTCTATATATTTGTAGGGTGGCAAGTTGATGTTCATGACCTTGGTAACATGGCACTCAGACTCACACCTGAGGAACTTAATGATCTGACCCCAAATCTACCAGTTGATGGTGAGTGACTTAATAGCATTATGCCTTCAACATTCTATTCTGGTCCATTGATGTCTTTCCATTTTTATATCAACACTACACTACCTTGATTACCATGGCTTTATAATAAATCTTGAAATTAGGTAGTGTAAAGCCTCTAATTTTGTTCTTCTTTTTAGAGATTAGTTTTCCTATTCTAGATCTTCAGCATTTCCATATAAATTCTTAGAATCATTTTATGATTTTCTCAAAAAAAAAATATGATGCAGGGACCAGCAAATGGCATAATGGTTACATTGCTGGATTCCCACGTAGTCGACATGATTCGAATCTTGGACTCAGTGGCTTTAAACTCACACTGGGTGCATGTGTATGCGTCCCCAAAATCCCGAGAGTAGATTGGAGGAGAAGGGATTGTGGCATGGCCATCCCCTCTAGGGGGGAGTGATTACTTGCTTTCTGTCTTTCTCTGACTCTCTAGTGAGCACACATACCCTATAGCAAAGACCTCTCTTAAAAATTTTAAAAAAAAAAGAGCATACAATTTTAACTTAGATAGTATTGTATCAGTAGATTTATTTGGGGAGGTCAAGCCTCTTAATAATATTGAGATGGTATTGTAGCTATAATTAATTTGGGACAATGGACTTAAGAACAATAGGAATGAACACCTATAACAAGAAACATGGTGTATCTTTCTATTTAGATCTTTCACTTCTTTCAGCCACATTTTTAGTGCAGAGTATTTGCATTATTTTTGTTAGATTTATTGTCAACTATCTTTTTTAAATGCTATTGTTGATTTTCTTTTTTGAAGAATTATTTGTTTTGGGGCCAGCAGGTAGCATGGTGGTTAAGGGTGCTGGACTCCCACATGGCTGACCATGGTTCAAATCCTGAATCTGGCAGCTTGCTTTCTCACTTTCCCTCTTCTCTCTTTCTTTCTTTATCTGATCAAATTAAAAATTATAATGGTAAATAAAGTTAATGAAATAATTGTTTTATTTATTATTTTTTAATTTGCCATAGGGCATTTGTGCTCACCAGAGAGAGACAGAAAAATTGAGACAGGGAAAAAGCAAGCCTCCAGGTCTGAGACTCAAACCACTGTGGGAGTTCTACACCTTTAACCACCATGCCACCTGCTGGCCCCTTGCAGGTGATTTTCAACATTTCATTTTTTGCTCCATCCAGCCCAACACCCAGCAAAAAGCCAGAATCTATGTGCATCTGAGGTGGGTTTTCCCTGCCCCTTTAACCAGAAAAAGCCTCTGCCCCCAACCCCTTTTGCTGGCCCAACACCCAGCAAAAAGCCAGAAACCATGTCCATCTGAGATGGGTTTTCCCTGCCCCTTTAACCAGAAAAAGCTTCTACCCTAAACTCCTCCTTCCAGTCCAACACCCAGTGAAAAGCCAGAAGGTAGGAAGTAATACATAATCCATCAGATGACCAGAAACCATCACCACAGAGGTACAAGAAATATAGGAAATCAAGAAAAATATCTCTCCGCCAAGAGGAAAGAACAACCCTTCATCATCCACAGACAGTACAATGGAACTCCTGAAATTGTCAGATAAAGATTTTAGGATATTCATAGTGACAAAACTAGTAGAGATGCAAGAGAAGAGAGACAACAAACTCCAGAAGATGCAGAAGAAAAGAGACAATAAGTTCTAGGAGGTGAGGAAGTTCTTCCACAATCTGAAAGAGGAAATACACAGCATAAGAAAAAAATCAAACAGAATTGTTAGAGATGAAGGCTATAAACAGGAAATCAAAACTTCCTTGAAAGTATTACAAGCAGATTAGATCATGCAGAAGGTCAAATCTCAGATGTAGAAGATAGAGCCTCTGACCTAGAAAAATTCACCAAAAAGACTGAGAAAATAACCCCTCAAAATGAGAATAACATATGAGTAATATTAGATACTATTAAACACCCAAACATCTGGATAATCGGTATCCCAGAAGGTGAAGAAACTAATCAGGGCATTGATAATCTATTCCATGAAATCCTGGAAGAAAAATTTTCAAACCTAGAGAGACATTCAAATATCCAGACCCAAGATATACAAAGGACCCCACATAGAATCAACCCAAGAAGATCTTCCCCAAGGCACATCATAACCAAAATCACAGACAGATAGGGCTAAAATTGGCAAGAGAAAAATGTCGAGTTACTTTCAGAGGATATCTCATAAGGCTAACATCGGACCTCTCGTTGGAAACAATGCAAGCAAGGAAAGAATGGGAAAATATATTCAAAGTGTTAAGTGAAAAACAATTTCGACCAAGAATACTGTATCCAGCAAGATTATCCTTTATGTAGGAAGGAAAGATGAAAGTATTCTCAGATTAAAAAAAAAAAAAAACCTGAAAGAATTTATCTGCACCATCAGCTTTTTGAGAAGTTCTGAAGGGAGTACTATAGCAGGAAAATTAAAGACAGACAAATAAGAAAACAAAATTACCAAGAGAAGGGCTGACAGGTGGCCTGGTGGTTGAGGGCGCTGGACTCCTACATGGCTAACTGTGGTTCGAGTTCTGGATCTGGCAGCTTGCTTTCTCTTGCTTTCTCTCTCTCTCACTCTCTTTCTCTTTCTCTCATTTGGTCCTTCTCTAGTCAAAATAGGTAAATAAATAAATAAAGTTAAAATAAAATTATTATTTTAAAAAAATGACCAAGAGAAAGGCCAACTTAATGGTAGGGACAAGTTCTGAAATATCAATAGTAATGTTGAATGCTAACAGAAAGGTCAGGTCACAGTAACACTGCAAATTCAACAAAAGAGATTACATGAGACTGAACTGGTGAAATTGAATTCTATGACTTTTTTCTAAGACATTACTGATTTTTTTCTATGCTTTGTCTTCCAGATTTAAGGGTTTTTGTTTTCTTTTGAGTTGTTGGGTTCATCAATTTGTTAAAGAATTATTTTAATTGAAACAAACTTTTTTTCCCTTCCTGATCCGTTTGCAATTGGGAAATATTTGTGAGCATTCTTGTTTTGTGGCAGAATGGCTATTTGCATAAATTCAATAATACAATAGTATCTGTTGCCTTGCATCAGAAATTGAATTCTTAAGGGGCTTTGTACAAATAACAGACCAAATGAGATTGACCTATTTTTTTTTCCTTTTGCAAAAAAAGGTTAGTTTGTACCTCTCTTTTGTAAAAGGGGGAATGAAGAGGGAGGAAAAAAATTGTTTCAGAAGAAAATTACAGTGCATTTGTCATTAGATTCTAGCTTTGTCCATACCTTAAGATCTTTTGTGAATCAATAAAATGTGAAAAGAAAGTTTAGTATGGAAGGGAGGGAGGGGAAAATGGAAGAATAAAAGTATGCTTAATTGACAAAAATGAGAAGCTATTTGCTGATGATAATGTATATAGTAATATCCTTGCCTTGACTAACTTTCATAGTTTTTGTGTTGGAAAAAGAGATGTATACTGTAAAGACCTGTGATAAAATGTAAATAAAATAAATAAATAGGGAAAATTTCATTTTTTAATTTTCTTGCTAGTATGTAGAAATACAACCACATATATGTATACCTTTTATAACAGAACTTTGTTAAATTCACGTATCACTTTAAGTAGTTTTTTGTAGATTTCATAGAATTTTCATTTACACAATTGTATTGTCTGCATAATAACATTTTTTTACTTCCTCCTTTTTTTTTTTTTTTTTGAGAAGTTTTTGCTATAGTGTGTGTGTGCGCTCGCCAGAAAGAGAAAGAGAGACAGAAGGTGAGAAATCACTCCCCCCGCCCCCCGGGGTGGGGGGTGTTGCTGGCCATGCTACAATCCTTTCTCCTCCATTCTCCTCTTGGGATCTTGAGCACGCACACACAGGCCTAGAGTGAGTTTGAGCCATCAGGTCCGAGCTTTGAACTGTGGTCAACTACATGGGAGTCCAGCGACATAGCCATTACACCATCTGCTGGTTCCACTTCCTCCTTTTTAACCGTATATTATTGTTTTTTTCTCTCATTGCACTAGCTAGGATTTCCAATATAATGATGAATAGAAGAGGTGGTTGTGGATGATCTTCGTTTTGCTTCTAATCTTAGAGAAAAGGAATTTAATGTTTCACCATTCAATATTATGTTGGCTATAATTTGTAAATATCTAGCTAGATTCAAATTTTCAATTTAGCTGTATATTTTCTAAAACACTTTTTCATTATCTCGCTCTCAATTATAGCTTTTCTTATAGCTGAAAATAAGATTGATCTCAGTAGATCAATGAATGCAGTGAAAAAATATTATGAATTAGTGAGAAAATACTATGAATCTAAGATCCTGTTTCTTCTTTTTTCTTGATTCATAAATTGTATTTTATTAAATATTTTATATTTATTTTTTCTTTCTCATTTAAAAATTTTAAAATTTTTATTTATTATTTATTGTTTATTATCATCATAATCTTGTTTATATTACATTGAATTGCATATAACTTTACAGTGTATTACATTGCTTTTTCAAAAGGGAATGTCAATGCATATCAGTCAATACCAAGACATTAAAATCCCCACTTCATCATTCAATATCTTTTCATTGTTTTTCCCATTCATTATTATTATTATTATTCCAATTATTTTTTAACCAGTCAACCACTATTTCTCATTTTGCTTGTAAAAAGACTTTACCTATCATGAAATACTTCTCAGACCCATCCAGTTGAGAATACTGTACATGTCATCATCAACAGGTAATAAGCCATATCTATGTCCAACTAATGTCATGCTTCTCTATTTGTTCTCTTGCTATCTTTCTCTATCCTCTTCTGCTCACCCCCACATTCCACACTGTCTTATTCTCCTTAAGTATTTTAACTGCTTTTATGTCCTCCAATATTTCACTCTCTACCATAGAGTGTGGATAGTCGATATATTAAGTGGATACATACAATATCTTTCTTCCATAGCCTGGCTTACTTCACTCAGCAATAAATCCTCTATGTCTGACCACTTTCTATCAAATGCCAAGGTCTTGTTATTTTTTATGGCTGAGTAGT